AGCTGAATTTCATTGAATAATACAGAATAATATAAGCCCCATGCTGGGACACCCTCTCCTTCCCTCCAATAGCTAAATATCACAGGGAAAGTCTGATTTCATAGTCTGTGATTTGTTTTTCATGACAGTGAATTTGGTAGGGTCCCACAGATCATATAACATAGCAGACCATTTCACCAAACTACTCTAGGACATTAATGGAAAATAAGCTAGGGTGGAGGTATATTTTTAGTTCATGCTGGATAAATGGGACATTGTTTAGGAACATTAGATCTTGTAAGATCATAGTTCTAGCTAATTTGCTAAACTGCTTTTACTTACTACTACAGATTTCTATTTTACTCCTTGATAACACTTCTATACATGGATGCTTCCCCAATTTTTTTATATGCACATAATTAAACCACTCCTTTAAGTTAGCATGGCAACTAGTGACACTCAGCTTTGGCCTGGCAGCCCCTCTGTCTTGGCTGCCAGGCTAAGTTTCAGTGAGTGGTACTGCAAGTCAGTGTATGGGACTGCAGCATCACTCAGCTTTGGGCGTCTGGGGCAAACTTCTTTTGCTACCCATTCTGGGTGGACTTACTCCTCACCAGTGATCTGCACAGTACACAATGTGCATACAGCTGTGGGTACCACAGCTCCTACATGAGAGAACATGATAAGAGACATCACGTTTTTAACAAAGATACAATCCCAGCCTCAGTGTCAGAACTGAGTACTTGTTGCAACATTTGTTGTGCTTAGTTATTTTAATACCCGAGTCCAGTGAATGCAGAATGCTTCAAAGCACCCTTGTCAGCCCTAATGGGGTTAAAGTGATCCAGAAAAGGCCAATTAACCTTCATAGTTGCATATCAAGGGAGGCCCAGGGATTTATAGATTACTAATTGCTGATGAAGCCTAGCTAGGGGAGAGCTTGGTGAGGAATACAAAGAAGACATTTGAAGAAGCAGAGCGCTGCAATGGGAGATTCTGCAGTCACTTGCTGGGAGCAGAGAGGCAGGGAGAAGGAAACCTAGGAGTTTAATAAGCCTTGGGATCCTAGCCTCTTGGAAGATGGACCTAACTCAGAGGAGTTGTGAAGAAGGAGGAAGACCTCAGAAGGCAGCAAAGGAAGAAGCCCAGAGAAACAGCATCAAGGAAGACTGCAGACATTGGCAGCAACTAATCATAAGGTCCTTGGGCTGGAACCTAGTGTTGAAGGAAGGTCTGGATTCCACTGCTACCCACAGGCAAGGTTGCTGGAGGAAACATACCAACAGCTGGTCCAGGAGGAGAACTCTGATATCCCAGAAAGGGAGACCACATAATGAGCCATCAGGAGGGCTGAGTACCAAAAGGAAACACTGACAATTACAGGAAGAGAGAGAGAGAGCACTACAGTAACTGAGTCGCTACTGGACGAAAGGTGCTATGCCACACCTGGCCAGGAGGTGGCGATCTTATAGTGAACAGAAACCCCTTATGCAGTCCCAGGATCCAGACAGATTGCCACATGCTGCTCCAAAAGTCAAAGCCTTTTAAAACAAAGGCTGCAATAATGAGCAGTCTTGTAATTATGACAATCACTCTATGCCTGAGATGTGAGTCACATGATCTCACAGGCTATTAATTTTTCAGAACCCCACAGAAAGAAGATAAAGTATTTCAAAAGGACACTGTGCTCTAGTCTCACGATATAAGTTTCTGTTGCACACAGGGCATGCTGTGAAACACAAGGCTGGTAGTTTCCCAGTGTTGGTGTGTCATATATATAGTAGCCCAATGTCTGTGACTAATGCTGAAACGCTGGCTGTTCCCTCTGGGCAGCGCTGTTGCCTCCCACTGCGGTGCCCGGCTGACTTCTGCGCCGGTTAGCCACGTTGGCGCAAGCGGCTGTTTGGGGTCTGCGCTCCCCATGCAGCGCAGATGGAGGTGCTGCATGGGAAGCGTGGGGCCCAGACACCTGCTTGCAGCATCATAGAAGTCAGCCAAGCGCCACGGTGGGAGGCAAAGGGGGGCAGGGCAGTGATGTACATGCTCAGGGGGTGGGGCCTGGACAAGCGTGCATCTCCGGAGACAGAGGAGAGTGGAGAGAGAGGGAGAGGCAGGAGGGGGAGAAAAGAAAGAGATGGAGAGAGAGGCAAAAGGCAGAGGAGAGCTGAGAGAGGGGGGGGGGAGGCAGAGGGGAGAGAGAGAGAGACAGACACACCCCGACCGGAGGCTCAGGAGGGAAGACCGACGTGGAGGAGAGACCTGAAAATCCCATTTTATGATGGGCTAATTGGCTAGTTAAAAAGAAGGGACAAAGGTGTGGTGGAATGCCCTTAGCTGTAGAAATGCTAGTTAATAAACACTACAATAACATAGTTGGTATCTCAGAGACTTGGTGGGATAATACACATGACTGGAATACTGGCATAAAAGGGTACAGCTTGACAGGGAAAAGGGGAGGAAGTGTTGTCTTCTATATCAAAAAGTATACCCTTGACTTAGGTTGAGATGGAAATAGACTAGCTGAAAGTCTTTGGGTAAGGATAAAAGGAGTAAAAAAACCTCGGAGTGATGTCCTGGTAGAGGTGTACTACAAATCACCTAACCAGGAAAAAGATACAAAAATCATCCAAAGCACAGGACTTGGTGGTGATGGAGGACTCGGTCATCATTTGGGAAAATAACACAGGAAGGCACAGATTATCCAACAAGTTTTTGGAATTTATTGGAGACAATTTTTATTTCAGAATTTGAAGAAAGCTACTAGGGGAGAATCTGTTCTAGATTTGATTTTGACAAATAGCAAGAAACTGGTTGAGAATTTGAAAACAAAAGGCAGCATGGGTGAAACTGATCATGAAGTGATATAGTTCATGACACTAAGGAAATGTAACAGGAAAAACACCACAATATAAATACAGTAATTCCTCATTTAACGCGTGCCCGCTTAACACGTTTTCACGATAGCATGATTTTTTTTTAAGGGAACATTTTTTGAACTACAGGACTGTCCTTGGAATAACACGATTTCCCCAGCTGGCCCATTGCTGGCAGCTGCACAGGGCTTCCCCCACCTCTGTGCAAAGCGGCGGAGGGTTCGACGCTCGCCACGCCATTCCCCGGTGGGCCCCCACCCCACTGGACACAGTGCGGATCCTGGCAGACTCATCACAGGGGCATACTCCCAACCCAATTCCCCTCCCCTCTCTTCCCCTTCCCTTACCCAGAGCCAAATAACTCCCCTCCCTGCTATAACCCAGTCCTCTTTCTCCCCCAACCTTATGTCCTGGTCCCGACACCACTACTTGAAACACAACCCCCATCTTTTCCATTATTTTCCAATGGGAAAATTGACCTCGCATAACACGTTTTCATGTAACACAATCATTTTCTGAAACATCTACAGTGTTAAATGAGGAATTACTGTATAATGGATTTCAAGAAGGCAGACTTCAGAAGATTCAGGGAGTTGGTATTCCATGGAAAGCGAGCCTCAGAGGAAAAACAGTTTAAGAGTTGGCAATTTTTCGAAGAGCTATTATTAGGGGCACAAGAGCAAAACTAGTTTACTACATAGGAAAAGTAGGAAGTATGGCAAGAGATCACCCTGGTTTAGCCAGGAGATCCTACATGATCTTAAAAAAAACCTACAAAAAGTAAAAATAAGGTCAAATTACAGATGATGAATATAATCACATGTACAAGAAAATGTTCTACAAATACATCAGAAGCAAGACTAAGGACAAGGCAGGCCCATTATTCAATGAAGGAGGAAAAAACCCACAAAACGTAGAAATAGCAGAAGTGCTAAATAGAACAACTGTTTCATTTTTCCACCAAAAAGTATGGTATCAGTTGGACATCTAAGATAGAGAATGCCAAGAAAATGGAGTAAGATCAGAGGCTAAAACAGGGAAAGAAGGAGTTAAATAAATTCAAGTCACCAGGCCCTGATGAAATACATCCTAGACTACTCAAGGAGCTGACTGGGAGATACTGGAGCCTTTAGCAATTCTCTTCAAGGAGCTCTGGAAGATGGGAGAGATTCCAGGGGTCTGAAAAGGTGCAAATATATTGCTAATCTATAAAAATGGCAATGCGGATAGCCTGGGAAATTACAGCTCAGTCATCTAAACTTCAGTACCTTGAAAAATAATGGAGCAAATAATTAAGCAATCAATTTACAAACACCAAGAAGATAATATGGTGCT